TAATTTGTGGAATAATAATTCATATTGGAATCTCTTAAAATTATATATAAATTGTAGATGTAATTTGTAGATATAATATGTAACTGACTATGTATATAAGTTAAAAAATGAAGTTTCCCCATTTTGCAGTGTCCGCGCCTGTGTTCGTGCTACATAGTTTATATATAATCCAAAAACTCGTGCCCAATAAGGGTAGTGGGTGACAAAACTGGTTATGCATATTCATATTTGATATATTTTATCTTAGCGTTTCATTCTATGATTGTAAATTTGTGACTGTGTGAATGTGATAAATTAAAGGGGTAAGTACAGTTGATTCCTCTGGACTATAGGCTCCGACCCAAAATGCCTCCTAAACAACAAATTGGGACAGTTTATACTCTTCCGTAACTCATTCAACGTATATCTGCCAAAAGCATTAACGCCTGTCTTCCGTTATAACCAAACACGTGGACAAAAAAAAAACGTTTCTATTCCACAAGCGCCTTCCTCCACCAGTACGATTTCGTCGCTATTTACTTTTTATATTCTATCATCTAATTAAAACGTTTTAATTGTTATTCATACCTAAATTTTACTATTATTGTAGCTGGTTCATACAACTTCTGAGTCGAAGAAATCAGCTCAGCTCTACAATTGCCACCGAATTCGACTGATTCTCTTAAGTCACTACAAAAGTCAAAGCAGACCCCGGCGGTGTTGCGGTCACCTCTGGCCGTGGCGGCGGTTGAATTGCCGCCTAAACCACCTCTTCCTCTCCCAATATTCGAATTGAAATCAGGCACTAAGTCATCTCGAAAGTTCAGCAACGAAGCCCCAAGGTTGTCTCGCTGACAGCAGCGCTACAACTGTTGGGCTAAATATCTAACATGCAAGTGCACGTATCGCAAATAAGTAGTAAAAGTGGAGTCGGATGTCTATCCCACAGGGAATACTCAAATTATCTAATCCTAAGTATCAAATTCTAACAATTATGATTTTTATCCAGCCTACGCAAGGTTGTCAAATTTAATCAACTAAACAATTAAACTAATTATGACGCAAATAAATACGAGAAACTATCAATATAGAAACGGATCTTAACGGCCGCAGTTTCCAATCCTGCTAATAGTTTAGCGCATTCTTTATTGTTACTATGGGGTCCTGAAGCACAAGGAGATTTTACTCGTTGGTGTCAATTAGGTGGTCTGTGGACTTTTGTTGCTCTGCATGGTGCGTTCGGACTAATAGGTTTCATGTTACGTCAATTTGAGCTTGCTCGATCTGTTCAATTGCGACCTTATAATGCAATCGCATTTTCTGGTCCAATTGTTGTTTTTGTTTATGTATTCCTGATTTATCCACTAGGCCAGTCTGGTTGGTTCTTTGCACTTAGTTTTGGTGTAGCAGCTATATTTCGATTCATCCTCTTTTTTCAAGGATTTCATAATTGGACGCTGAACCCATTTCATATGATGGGAGTTGCCGGTGTATTGGGGGCTGCTTTGCTATGCGCTATTCATGGTGCTACCGTAGAAAATACTTTATTTGAAGATGGTGATGGTGCAAATACATTCCGTGCTCACTACGCCAAAATGCATTTCAGGCGACGAAAATTTGCGACAAAAAAATCTTATTCGCAACGAAAAAAATAATTTTGCGACGAAAGGTTTGCGACGAAAGAAACGCAAAAAAAGTTCAAAAAAGTGCCCGTCGCAAATTTTTGCAACGAAACATAAAAAGGGTCGCATGGTTTGCGACCTTTCCAGAGAAACGTCGCAAAGATTTTATTTTTTCGTTAGCTGAAATATTGCGACGAAACCTTTGGGAATCGTCGCAAAATCAATGATAAAGTTGCGACTAAAATAAAATGTCGCTCTTTGATGCGACGTTTATTTGTAATTAATTTCGTCGCAAAATTTAAATTAAGTACCATAACTCAATAAAATTATACGAAAATCCTCGTAAAAAGGTACATATTGAGTGTAAAATATACACTCAACAACAACCGACACAAAATGAAGCCTCCACCCAAACTAGGGGTGGTAAACGAGCCGAGCCGGCTCGCGTACTCGACGAGCCGGCTCGAACTCGAGCTCGGGTTTTTCGAGCTCGAGCTCACGAGCTCGAGCTTCGGACGAGCTCGAGCTCGAGCCCAAATCTAGTTGTTCGACAGCTCGCGAGCCGGCTCGCGAGCTGCCTTCCTTTTTTTTTTTTTTAATTATATATATATATATATATATATATATATATATATATATATATATATATATATATATATATATATATATATATATATATATATATATATATATATATATATATATATATATATATATATATATATATATATATATATATATATATATATATATATATATATTATTCTTATTCTTATTATTATTATTATTAACTTAAATAGTAAATAGTCTATAATAATAAATATTTCTAGTACTTAAATAGAAACAAATCTATATTACTTAAAAAATTCATAATAATATAAAATATTATAATAATAATAATAATAATAATAATAATAATAATAATAATAGAAAAATTAAAAAAAAAATATATAACTAGAGTTCATTATTTATTTTATAATTTTTTTTTATTTTCCTATAAATTATTTTTAATAAAAAATTAAATGATTTTAATAAAAAATTAAATAATTTTAATAAAAAAATTAAAAAATTAAAAATAAATAAATAAATAAATAATTAAATGAGCTCGAGCTCGAGCCAAAAAAAATTGGCTCGATGAGCTCGAGCTCGGCAACATGGACTCGAGCTCGAGCTCGAGCTGGCCAAAAGGGCCGAGCTCGGCTCGTTCCCACCCCTACCCCAAACAGTTCCAAACAACCACCTCCGCCTAGATATAACCACCGGTTTGGTTAAAACCAGAACCGGAACCGTGGTCAACAGTTTTTTAACCGAACCGGAACCAGTTTGACCATAACCGGAACCGAAACTAGAAAAATCAGTTTGGTTCCAGTTCCCCATTTGTGTAACCACTAACCTTTGAGAAAAAAATTAAATATTGATTATAACTACAACAAATTCCTAAAGTCTGCAAAATCTACTGTTTGACCCCTACTTTTTTTAAGGTTTGCAATTTGATCCTCAAAGTTTCAGAATCTATTAAAATTATTTAAAATTTTATGATATCTCGGTTGGATATACAAACAAAACTATTTCATAAGTTTTCGTTTTTCTAGCTCTGTCGAACCGGAATCTATATATATCGACTTTTCAATTCTTAAAAAAAATTGAAACTGTATTTCTGATTCAATCCGACCAACTTTGAGTGCTACTACAAATATTGATTGATATATACACCCCCTGAGCTATGGTCAAATTACGAAAACCCCCCTCCTGTTTGGGTAATTACATCCACCCCCCTCAACTATGTATTTATCTTACGAAAAGACTCCTCCAGAGGTAAATTTAGAGATGTTAATTCGGTAAAATCGGACCAAAATTTTGGTACGCCAACATTTCATACCGTTTACCGAACAAAATATACAATTTGGTTCGATAAATAACCGAATTACATAAATTTTACGTAAAAATATTTAAAAGGAGGGGGGTGGCTGTAATTACCCAAACAAGAGGGGGTTTTTTGTAATTACATCCACCCTTGTAATTTGTAGATTTATTATATTAACACTCATGTGTAGGCGGTAAATGTAAGAAACATACAAACTGAAAGGGCTGCATGTAATTTCTAAATAATGAGGGAGGTTTTCGTAAATAGACTTTACTTCAGGGAGGTGGTTGTAATTAGGGGTGGTAAACGAGCCGAGCCGGCTTGCGAACTCGACGAGCCGGCTTGAAAAAAGCTCGAACTCGAGCTCGGGTTTTTCGAGCTCGAGCTCGAGCTTCAGACGAGCCGGCTTGCGAGCTGCCTTCTTTTTTTTTTTTTTTTTTCTTTTTACATATATATATATATATATATATATATATATATATATATATATATATATATATATATATATATATATATATATTATTCTTGTTCTTGTTCTTATTATTATTATTATTATTACTATTATTATTATTATTATTAACTAAATAGTAAATAGTCTATAATAATAAATATATCTAGTATTTAAATAGAAACAAATCTATATTACTTAAATAATTCATACTAATATAAAATATTATTATAATAATAATAATAATAATAATAGAAAAAATAAAAAATATATATAACTAGAGTTCATAATAAAAAATATAATAATAATAATAATAATAGAAATAATATTAATAAAAAAATAAAATGATTTTAATAAAAAAATTAAATAATAAAAAAAAAATTAAATAAGCTTGAGCTCGAGCTTGCCAAAATTGGCTCGAGCTCGAGCTCGAGCCAAAAAAAATTGGCTCGATGAGCTCGAGCTCGGCAACATGGACTCGAGCTCAAGCTCGAGCTGGCCAAAAGAGCCGAGCTCGGCTCGTTCCCACCCCCAGTTGTAATTTACCATAAAATAGATAACATACCAATCTAATTCTTGTTGGATCTTATAGAATTGAAAAGCTACTAATCTTTTATTGGACAAAATTTTGAAAGATAATATATATGGGATAATAATACTTTTGGTTCATGTACTTGCCACCTAAAATGATTTTAGTCCTCAAACTTATAAATTCACAAAAAAAGTCCTCACTCTTACCAATTTTTAATAATTTTGCTTTGTCGTCAATGTTTCCTGTTAAGTTGGATGGGACGGTCATGTGAGCCTCACGTAACGTCCACTTCGCACCCTAAAAATGAGCTGGAATTAAACTTCACATCTTCTTATCCAAATATTTAATGCCTAATTTTCTTTCAAACTTAAAATATGTCATTTCCTCCATCACCTCCCGTCGTCTTCCACCTCTCCACCACTCTCCTCCGTCAAAAAACATAACAAGAAAATCAACATCTGCAAAACTGGAAAAAGAAAAAAAAAATGGCGCCCATTGATCCTCCCTCACTCCCAGACTTAACTCACCCACAATCCTGACCTTCGTGTCACGGACTTGTTCCCTTAACAAAGAACCGTGCGGCCTTAGCTCCTTCTCGCCCCTCGCGATAGCTAAGTCAGCCTCTCCCGAATGTGTTGCGAATACTTAAGTGATGGAAACGAAGAAAGAAATTAAGAAGATAAGAGAGCTGGTAAGAAAGTACTTTATTGCTTGAGTGCTTATTGTATTTGTTGGATATGTTGGATATGTTGGATGATTACAAATGAGGACCCTACCTCTATTTATACAAGACCACCTCCTCAATGGACGGTGGAGATCGATATGATCTAACGGTCGGGAGTGGAACACTCCAAAGAATCCCTAAAATGTCTCTACCTACCTCTATACATATGGGCCAACTTGGGCCTAACCCTATTTGGGCTAAGTCTTGGTCTTCCTAACCTCCCCAACCCAAGGGAAACTGGCAAGGGGTTGGGTCAAAATTAGCGGGCCGTGACATCCTCCCCCGCCTAATCCGGCGACGTCCTCGTTGCCTCGAACAAGTGGAGACGATCATGAAGTTGCCACAAGTCTTCCTTCGTCTCCCATGTTGCCTCTGACTCGGGTAATCCCTTCCATTTAATGAGGTATTGAATACTCGGTGGAACTCCCCTACGTCGCTTCAATTGTCGGCTGAGCACTTCCTCGATCTCCTTATCGTATGACTTAGTCATGATGGGTGGTGCTCGGTGCGACTCTCCTCGGCTCGTGTCTTCCTTGTCTCCGTGATAAGGCTTCAACATACTCACATGGAAGACCGGGTGAATTTTCAAAGAACTTGGAAGTTATAGACGATACGAAACTTTACCGACCTTGGCGATCACCGGGAATGGTCTTTCGTACCTTCGCACAAGTCCCTTGTGCATGCTCCTCAACGCCTTGAATTGTTGGGGCAATAGTTTCACCATCACTTGGGCCCCAACGTCGAATTCCCGTGGTCGTCGTTTGTCGTCCGCCCATTTCTTCATTCGTCGTCTGGCCTTCTCAAGGCATGCCCGGGCTAAGTCGGCTTGTTCCTCCCACGACTTAGCCATCTTCAATGCTCCGGGACTCCTTCCATCGGTTGCCGTAGCCAAAGTATGCGGCGTAAGCGGTTGTTGTCCCGTTGCGAGCTCGAATGGACTCCTCCCCGTGGCTTCACTCCGCTGCAAGTTGTACGAGAATTGAGCCATGTCGAGGAGCTTCGCGCAATCTTTTTGATTGGCTCCCACGAAGTGCCGCAAGTAGCACTCGAGTAGGGCGTTCACTCTCTCCGTTTGCCCGTCGGTTTGGGGGTGAAAACTCGTCGAGAAGCAAAGTTCGGACCCTAAAAGTTTGAAAAGCTCCGTCCATAATCGCCCCGTGAAGCGTGGGTCTCGATCGCTTATGATGTTCCTCGGTAGTCCCCAATACTTGACGACGTTCTTGAAAAAGAACCGGGCTGCCTCCTCCGCGGTGCAATCCCTCGGGCAAGCTATGAACGTCCCGTACTTTAAAAAGCAATCTACCACCACCATGATAGATCCGGCCCCCTCGGACTTCGGCAAGGCACTAATGAAGTCCATTGAGATCGACTCCATTGGTCGCTCGGGGATTGGGAGTGGCTCAAGTAACCCTGCCGGCTGCTTATTCTCCACCTTGTCTTGTTGGCACACCAGACAAGTCTTCACATATGCGTCGACACTGTCCCGCATGTGAGGCCAAAAGTAGGCCGTCTCGAGTAACGCCATTGTCCGCCCTTGGCCCGGATGCCCCGCCCACTTGGTGTCGTGGCATTCCCTTATGAGGTCCTTCCTCAAGCTGCCCCACTTCGGAACGAAGAGTCGCTGTCCCTTCGTGTAGAGTAGGCCGTCTTCTACCCAAAATTGCTTCGTCTTGCCCTCCTTGACGAGTCGGATTAGCTCCTTGGCCATGGGATCATGTTCGAGCCCTTCTCGGATCATGTCGGCCAATTTCCCCCTTGTCGAGCTAATGGCTACGAGTTCGGATTTTCTATTCAAAGTATCGGCCACAACGTTCACCTTTCCCCGTTTGTACTCCTTTAAAGCGGCTAAAAATGTCGGCTCGCCCCGTCGAACTCCCTTGGCAACTTGCGTGGCCGACAGTTGCCTTGGTTGCGTGCTTTCTTCCTTAGTGGTGCCGTTGATGGCCGGCACCATGCAAGGTGTCCCCTTCTCTAAGATGCAAACCGAATTGAAACAAGGCATCGGGATAGCCATTACCTTGCGGAAGAAGTCCATGCCTAGCACCACCTTGAAGTCATCCATCGGTGCTACCAAAAAATCCACTTGGCCCTTCCAAGTGCCTAAGTGTAGCTCCGCGTCTCGTGCTACACCGTTGAGCGGTTGTGCCTTAGCGTTAACGGCCTTGAGCCTCGTCTGGTCCACCATAGGCCAACCCTCTTGGCCTCGTCCTCGGTGATAAAGTTGTGGGTTGCTCCCGTGTCTACCATCACCTTTGCTGGGGTATGGTTGATGCGGGCCTCCACGTACATCAGCCTCTTGCTTGATGTTGCCGGCATCGGATTAGCCTTTAAGGCGTTCAGAAGTTGGAGCGATCCCATGTTGGCTAGCCCCTCGTTTGTGCCTTGCTCGGCCTCTTGTTGTAAGAGTGCCGACAATGACCCCATCTTGGGACATTGACTCATCGCGTGCGGCCCCTTGCACACGAAGCATCCTCCCTTAGGCACAAACGACCTCTTCTTTTCTTCAAGTTGATGGCGTGAGGATGGCTTGTCTCCTCCCCTCGAGGTTGACGCTCGCCTTGGGTCTCGGTTGTCTCGATAGTCCCGTCTCTCTTCTCCACCTTTAGTCGGGTTCCACTTCTCTTTTCGCAACGGCTCTCTCGGTTGATATTCGGTTAAAGACTCGGCGGCGGCAATAGCTTCATCGACGGATTTGATGTCTCGTCGGTGGAGTTCTTGCTTGGCCCAGCCTTGTAACCCATCGGTGAAGTGGAAAAGGAGATCCTCCTCGGAAAGGTTGGGAATTTGAAGGGTGAGGGTGGTGAACTCCTTCACGTATTCGCGGATTGAACTTCGTTGCTTGAGTTCCCTCAACTTCCTTCGAGCCTCATAGACGACGTTCTCCGGGTAGAAGTGTCGCTTGAGTTCCCTCTTGAACTCTTCCCAAGTATCGATTCGGCAAACGCCTTTCTCGATATCGGCGTGCTTTCTACGCCACCATAACATAGCTGTATCGGAAAGATAAAGGGAAGCAGTTCTTACCTTAGTCGTCTCGTCGACTAGACCGATACCCTCGAAATATTGCTCCATCCTCCATAGGAAGTTCTCGACTTCCTTGGCGTCCCTTACGCCGTTGAATCCCGTTGGCTTCGGGCAGTTCACCCTTGGACTCGAAGCAACACCAGTGCTCCCGTTAGCGGCGGCCTTTTTGCACAAGGCCAAGTCGTCGCGCATCCCCTCGATGCTCTCTTGGAGGGATTGGATGATGGCCTCCAATCGATCCAACCGTTCCTCCCGCAACGCCTCATTGTCTCTAGACAAATCGAGTTGCTCGGCGACGTGATTCTCCAACACTTCCGTATCGTGCTCAAGCTTCTCGAATCGTTCACTAAGCTCCGCTATGGCGACGTTATTCTCGAGCCTCTCGAGTCTTTCGCCATGATCCATTAGCACAACCTCATTAACGGTACTCTCCCCACGAGCCTTGCTGTGGTCCCTCTTCTTCTTGTTGTTTACTTGGGCCTCCCTGCCACGTCCCTCGGTTACGTACGAAATATCTTCAACATTCGCCATCGTTGAGGATTCGATCAACACAAAGCCCTTAGCCGGGCTCTGATACCACTTGTCACGGACTTGTTCAGTTAACAAAGAACCGTGCGGCCTTAGCTCCTTCTCGCCCCTCGCGATAGCTAAGTCAGCCTCTCCCGAATGTGTTGCGAATACTTAAGTGATGGAAACGAAGAAAGAAATTAAGAAGATAAGAGAGTTGGTAAGAAAGTACTTTATTGCTTGAGTGCTTATTGTAGAGTGTCATCAAAAGTTAACCATGACAGCGCTTAC